GGGGGAGGAAGCATTTAGGAACTAGAGGAAAGTTGTATGTTTCATCATTGCTACATCACACCCTGACTGGCTCGTCTCCTCCCTGAGATCCTTCTGTAAGGGGATGTCTAGTGGCCTACAAATGGGCTTTGGGTGTCCTCCAGCACATTTTTAATGCAGTTTTTGTGGTAAAATTAGGTGCCTGGGCGGATATTCAGGTAGACTTCTACTCGAGTATGTACGTAGTTCATTTCTAGTTACTAGGCACCGTCATTGATGTGGCCCTGTTCAAGCCAGCCATTCTGTTCTTTGTGTCCTATTGATCCCATCTGTCCCTCCTTTCTTCTTTGCCTGCTTTCTTTTAGATTAAATTGAGTACTTTTTACAACATTGTTTTACGTCCCCCCACTCACGATGTTCCAAAGGGTCCCTGGTGGCGCAGTTGTTAAGCCCTTAAGGCTGTTCTGGGTCAAGCTCTCCCCAATAGCTACCTGGGAGAAAAGACATTGTGAGCCACTCCTGTAGAGATCACAGCTTAGGAAGCCCCCAAAGGGCAGTTCTACTCAGTGCGACCTGAGATTGAGTTTCTAACAGTGTGAATCGTTATGGGAACTGATAGCCTCCTCTTTCTCTCTAGTAGCAGCTGGTGGGCTTGAACCTCTGGCCTTGAAGCAGTCCAACACTTACTCAACGGTCCCACCAGGGTTCCTAATTTATCCAGAGAGATCGTTTCCCTTAAGTTTTGACATATCTTTTCAGTGGCCGTAGAATGGAGGTTGGCAGCCTTAAACTGGTTGCTCCCTGTATAATTTCCCAGGAGGGACCGGCTGTCCCTATTGTTCTGTGATGGCTTTTCCCTTGGACTGTATAGATTGCCTCTTTATCCTTGGTTTTCAGTAGACTGATTATAATGTGCCGGATGTGATTTTCCTGGTACTTACCCTGTTTAAACCAAAATTTACCGGACCCCTGGTGGTGGCACTGTTATACATTGGGCAGCTAACTGCAAGGTCAGCAGTTCAAAACCACTTACCGTATATACTCGAGTATAAGCTGACTCAAATATCAGTCGAGGCACTTAATTTTACCACAAAAGCTGCGCTGAAAAACTCAGCTCATACACAAGTATATATGGTACCACTTCCTGGGAGAAAGATGGGGCTTTTTTTTCTCTTCCCTATCTGCCTTTCAGTTTCGATTCTTTGTTGTGTCCAATCCAATCTTCTGTTAATGCCATCTAATGAATTTTATTTCAGGTATTATAATCTTCAATTCCGGGATTTCCATTTGATTCTTTTCACCGCTAATAGCCATATCTCTCCCATGAAATTCCATCTTATTGCCTATTATATCGATTCCAGTAGCGTCTTTAATACTATTCTCACAGGTATTTTAAATATGTCTCCCTTGTCTGCTACGTCCAACATAGGCATTGGCTGTGGGTCTGTTTCTGTTGATTGCTTTTACTATTGACCGTGAGTCGCATTTTCCTGCTTCTTTCCATGCCTGCTACTTTTTTGTTGTATCCTAGACAATGCAGGTGACATATTGCAGCGACTCGGGACTCTGTTCTCCCTTCTCCTGAAGAGGGCTGAGTTTTGTTTTAGCACAGATGAGCCACCTTGCTCATTTGGAGGCTTGGGTGTAGGCTTTATCTAGAAAATGCCAGTTGGGTTTGGCTGTTAGTCCTAGAACAAATCACTTAGTCCCGGGCCATAGTCTTTATCCCTAAGGCATGGACTTTCCTGGAGTTTTATTGAAAAGCCTTGGGTATTGATAAGGAGCCTATGGTGGCACTGTGGTTTAGGTGTTGGGCGTCTAACCATAAGGTCAGTGGTTCAAAGCCCCCAGCCACTTCACTGAAAGGTGAGGCTGTCTGCTCACATAAAAATTTACAATCTCAGAAACCCTATATAGGATTGCTATGAACCTGAAGGGACTCCATGCCAGTGAGTTTGGCTTTTAGGGATGGCACAGATTAACGATCCCCCTTGGTGGGACTTAAACTCCAAATTCCATTTCATTGGTGGTGGCAACCGTTGAAATGTATTATCTAGTTCTACCAAACTTTCCCATTGATTTCCCCACCCTGCGCCCCCCGAGTCTGCCCAGTTCAGATTTTGTTTCTCCGTGTGTTTCTCGGTTTCTTACATTGCCTCCTTAACTTCTGCTTCCCTGGGAATCTGGGCTGGATCTCTGGCTACTCCCATCACTTATACTTCAACTTTCTGCTAGCATTCTCTTTGCCAGGCTGACTGGGTGTCCCCTCCGGGGGCGTACACAACAAATCCTGAAACATAAAAGCACAGATGAGCTCCTCTTGCAAAGGGCAAATGTCTGCCAGGTCCCAGTTGCTCTTTTTCACTGCCCTTTGTCTTCAAACAGTTGTTGTGTTGCAATTTCTCCAATGTCAGCCCCATTCAAGCTCCTGCCTGCCTCTGACTCTCAGTCTCTGCCTCTTTCTCCTCTATGCCTGGGCCTCTCTCTCTCTCTCCTCCTTCCCTCTCCTGCTGATTCTCTCTCTGTCCCTCCTTGCAGGGAGAGCCTGGCCCCAAAGGAGACCCTGGTGAGAAGAGCCACTGGGTAAGCTCCTGTCCCCACTGGCCTCCCGACGCCCCCTCCTGCCCCAAGTGCTCAGGACGGGATTCTGAACCGATGGGCCCCTCTACCTCCCCACCGCCACCAGGTCTCCCAGGGAGGGCCCTTGGCAAGCCTCAGTCCTAATGGGCAGGGCCAGCAGACCCCACGCTCTCTGCCATTGTCCCTGTCTCTGCCTTCCCTCCACTGCCCTCCTAGGCCAGGGTGGCTCTGCCTGCTCTTTCTGGAAGGTTCAGGCTGACCCCAGCCTTCAAGTCCTGTCCCAGCAAAGGCAAGGGCAGCGTCAGAGCGATCCAAACCAAAGAGTGGGACAGGGCACTTTAGAAGCCCTGTGTTCAAAGGGATGGGGCACCTAGACCCGGCCAGAAATCCATGAAGTTTGGGAAAGGCAGGCCAGGAAATCATCAGATGTGTACATATACACATCTGTACCTGGAAACTGAGGTCAGAACCCTTAGATCCCTCTAAGCCCAAAAGACCTATCATTAAGTGAGGTCCTAGCCAACATCACATGCACAGGGACACATATATAAGGGGCGGAGGGGGTGGGGGAGAGGGGCAGGAGAACCACAGAAACTGGAAGGGGCGAGGACCTGGACACCATTGTACACAAAGAAAACCCATAAAGATTGGGCAGGGGGCATAGAAACTGTCACATACATAGGAGACTTAGATTACATGGGAAAGGGGGCCTAGAAACCACATGCCCCCAACTTCCATGATTAATGTGGGGCCCTAGAAACCAACACAATGATTGGAGATAGTTGTGGGTAACTATAAACCACCACCCACCTTCGAGACATCTACGGGGAACTCACAGTGCCTGAAAGCCCCATGGTCCCCCTGATTTAGGAGACACTGGGGGAAGGGCTGGCAGGTGAGGGCAAACACCCCTCTAAGAGAGAAAGGAGCCTCTCTGTTGGAGGGGAGGGTCTCTTACCGCACTCCACCCCTCCCTGCAAGCCAGCTGGGAAGCCCCACTTCTTGGCAGGTACTAGTTAGTGAGGACATGGAGGCCCCCAGAGCACCCCCAGCTCCTGATTGTGGGGTCAGTGATGGATACAGCCGTGGGAGCCCCCCCACCCCGCACGAGTTATCCCCATGTCTCCCCGTGACTCCTGGGAGCCCGCTACCTCTCTAGCAAGCCTCTTCTTGGCCCTTGCTGTCACCCAGCCCCTGCTCCCCCCTGCCCTTTGATCCCAGAGATTAGAACACTCCTAAGCTGGGCGGGGTTGAGTAGACCCATGCCTTTGCCTTCTCTAGGTACGACCACTGGCCTCTCCTGGACCCTTAGTCTGGTAACAACAGGCTTGCTGCCCAACTACGGAGAATGGGCAAAGGCAGGCTGGAGGCAGAATTAGGCTGGGCAGTGCAACCTTGCATAGAGACCCGCCCCCCCCCCCCTGAGCTACTTAGCCCATCAGGGCCGGGCCAGGCCTTACGCCCCGGACCACCTGTGGGGGTTGGGGCTGAGAGGTAGCAGGGCTCCTTCCCATCCACCCATCTCCCACTCACCCTCCTCTCCTTCTGCCTGCTTGCTGCCTGCCTGGGCTGGGGCCTGCTGGGCTGGGGGATGCATGAGGCTTTGGGGACAACTCTATTGTTGGCAGACAAGGATGAATGACCACTGTGGAAAAGGACCCCACCCCCACCCCCAGCCCCTTGGCTCCCATCATATATCCTTTCCACCTACCATCACCCTAGTACAGCTTTCAAGGCTGTTGGCCCAACTGCAGCTCAGCCGTGACACCTGGTGGTTCAGAAGCATACTGCAGGCCGAGCCAACACGAGGCCCCGCTCTGCACAGCAAAACCTTGGCAGAACTGGGGCAGAAAAGGCCTGGCTGTTCGGCCCCCCAAACACAGAAATCAGCTAACATTCCCAATCACCTCTTTGGCGTTGGACACAGTCCCCCACAGTGGAGCGGCCAGAAACAGGCCTGAAGTCTGCAGCCATTGGTCAGAGGGACACTCAGCTGTGAGGACCCAGGGGCAGCCTCTCGCCCAGCCTAGTGGAGAAAGAGACCAGGGCTGAGTTCTGAAAGATGCATTCAGCAGGGGAAGGATGGTCAGAGGAGAAGGAACAGCGCGTGCACAGTCCCAGAGGCCAGAGTGAGTCCAGAGAACTCCGACGGAGATGACAAGCAGAGATGGAGCAGGGACCTAAGAGGCTGAGAAGACGTAGAGAGCTGTGGGAAGGAATTTTGAACAGGGTTAAGCAGGGGAGCGACATGCTCAGCTCTTTGCTTGGGAAAGAGCCACCTGGTGAATGGAGAGAGAGTGCAACCAGAAAGGAGGCTGACTTGGGTATCCTGCGGGGAGATTGTGGGTGCAGGAACTGGGGGTAGTGAGGACAGACTCAGGTGAGCTGAGCAACACTGAGATGCCAGTTTGGACTTGGGGAGTTGGGGGAGACGTTTACAATGGTAGGAGAGAGCAAGAGGAGCCTGGGGGCCCCATGGGATCATTCTGGCTTTCCACGCGGGAGACCCAGGTTCGCTTCCCAGCTGAAGCGCTTGGCACACAGCCGCTCCTCTCCTGTCCGGGCGGCTTGTGTGTGGCTCCAATGCTGAACCAGTTTCAGCGAAGCTTCCAGACGCCGCGGGACTGGAAGGAAAGGCCTGGCAGCCAGCCTGTTCACAGGGCCCATAGTCGGCTGTTTTTTGTTGTGCCTGGGCTTGCCATGAATGGGGTCACCTCGACAGCTGCCGACAACCACCACCAAAGAAAACCAGAAGGGACAGGCACGCCGAGTTTGTGGCTGTCACACAGCAGCGTGGGACTGTCCAGATCCTGGGTGTGGAAGGCAGGTCACCCTGGGAGGGGACCCCGGTGTCAGCCTTGCAAACAGCCAGCCAGGGAGGGACTCCGTGGTGACATGTGGTTCGTTAGTTTGTAAAACATTTCCCCAGATTGGATTTTTTTCAAATTTACCAAGACTTGGTACGTGCGTACACGTCCATGCTTCCTGGACATTCAGCCACCAAACTCACTGCCATCGAGTCAGCTCTAGCAGCCCTATAGGACAGAGGAGAAAGGCCCCCTGAAGGTCATCTTTCTCTCAAGTTCATTTCAAACTGCTGACCTTGAGGTTAGCAATCTAACACATAATCCACACCGCCACCAGGAGCCCTGCAGCTTGAGATTCTCCGGTTCTTTTTTTTTTTTTTTTTTCCACCAGTTCTTAATAATTTCTTTTTCCTTTCGGGAAAATGACAGGACTTTCTCTTCCCATAAAGAGCTGCCGTCTCGGAAACTCACAGGGGCAAGGCTACCCTGCCCTACAGGGCTGCTCTGAGTTGGCATCGACTCGATGGCAGTGTTTGGTTTTGGGGTCTTCTCTTTCCTTGTGTGTTCAACCAACCCCCCTGCCGTTGAGCCAATTCCAAGTCACGCTGTCTCTGCAGAGGCTTTCTGAGACCGTCAATCTTAAGGATAGCTAACCACAAGGTCCGAAGTTCAAAACTATCAGCCGCTTCTTGAGAGAAAGACAGGCTTTCGACTCCCATAGAGAGTTACAGTCTCGGAAGCTCACCGGGGCGGTTCGACCCTGTCCTGTGGGGTCGCCATGAATCGGCATCAACGGGATGAGTTGGCAATGGGTAGTTCCACTAGGGAACAGTTCCTAGCTTTTCAGTTCCTAAAACTCTATCAGCTGGTTTGGGTTTGTTTGTTTTTTAAAAAGCCAAAATGGAATCAAAGGTTCCCACGTTACACTGGCCCGTCATAGCTCTAGTTACTTTCTACGGAAAGCACTGCTGCCCATCTGTTCGTTGCCTCTTTTCCTGGATGGATTTCCCTGGAGGGGCCGGGCGACCTGGTGGAAGCCCCAGTGTCCTCATCCTGCGTGCCCTCGGGACGGCAATGTCAGCTTGTCCCCTCCTCCATTCCAGTTGTGGCTTAACAGAATTTCTGAAGGTCATCCATTTTTAGACCCTGGTATGCAGCTACCGGGTGACCTTGGGACACTCCCCCAGGCTGCAGTGGGCAGGCCGGGAAGCTTGCTCAGACTATACTGGGAGCCCAGTCAGGGGTGCCAGTCTCCTCATTCAACACCCCACCCTGACTCTACGGTCGGTTTCAGCACAGATCCATTGACTGTCCTCGAGCTCTGTTAAAATGAAGATGGCAATGTTCCAGAAAGATCTCCAGTCTGCACTAGTGAGGGAATGTTAGCCAGATCATGGGCCTGCCCTGTGGGTGGGAAGGACAGGCTGATTGGAAGGGGAGGCAGGGCATGCGGCCAGCGAGGTGTTTGCCAGGAGCTCTGAGCAGCAGCTGGCTGCACTTGGGTGAGTGGGGAGCCCCAGAGTGGGGTGGCCTGGGGCGGAACTCTGTAGGAGGGTTGGCTGAGGGAGCCCAAGTGAGAGGGGTTAAGGAGCCTCAGTCTTGCCAGCCCTTTAAGCATGAGTTTCCTAGCGTTGATGCCAGATAAACATCCCCCTGCCCACCTTGTGCTACCTGTCCACTTTAGCCTGGAGGGAAACATCAGCAGGGACTGCTGAATGCCATCCCAGATGCCCCAAATGGCTCTCACTCATCCACTAACCTACAAGGTGAATGGTTTCGACCAGCAGCATCACCGCATAAAGCCCTGGCAGCCTGCTGCTGTCACAACGATGGCGGGAGCCGTTCTACTGCCTCCAGCACACAGTGCGGCCATGAGTTGGAATCAACTCTTTGTCACAATGAGTCTGGTTTCTTTGGGGAGTGGAGTGCCTAAGGCAAGCAGTGTGTCAGGTCAAAGGACATCACATCAACAAGAGTGCAGGTGGCTTGGGAGTGGCGCAGGGATCCTGCAGGTGGCTGGGAAGGACTGGTAGGTGGCCGGTTCCAGGACAGGCTGACTCCCTGGTGATCTCCAGCACTGGGCATTGTGGGTAATAAAAGAGCCAAGGTTTTCAGGACGATTCTGGGTAATGGATCCACCCTGCAGACTGGCGCCAGACCGAGAGAAGAACCTGCAGGTTCTGGAATAGGACCGGCGCCCCTGCCGCAGGGCAGCTTTGTTTGCTGTGGTGTGAGGAGAACACAGCAGGTTGGGGTCCCACATGACCTGTTGGGGGTCCTGGGGGACTGCTTCTACCTGCCTGGTTCCAGACTGTCCTCTCCTGGTCTTGTCCCAGCTGACCATGGGCCCTGGGCTGTGGCAGGTGGTGTGGGGCTACAGGTGCATGTCCGGGGTGGAGCATGAGCCCCCCACAGGCTTTGCAGGGTCCCCCTCCCCTACCCCCTTCACGGCTGCATCTGTCTCTTTCCTCCGCAGGGGGAGGGGTTGCACCAACTACGCGAGGCTTTGAAGATTTTAGCTGAGAGGGTTTTAATCTTGGAAACAATGATTGGGCTCTATGGTGAGTAGAGACAGACAGACGGACAGACAACCCAGCCCCTGCCCACCAGCTAGCCTGCTCCCAAGCCCCACTGGGGTGGCCCTGGTCTGGGCCCCGTCTCAAGACTGGAACAGGTGCCTACCCCAGGCAGTGTCTCCAGGACTCAGAAGCCCTGGGAAGCCAAGACCATCACCCCTCAAGGCCTGGTCCCCTCCTCCACAGCTAAAGGGGGCCTTAGAAACCCAGGCTCCCACCCCCTGTGGGTGGAGCTGGGCCTCCGGCATTGTGGGTAATGGGCGACCTTGTGGGTAATGTGGTTTCCAGGCAGTAGGGGACTATGGCTATCACGCTAAGGTCCCACTGTGCCAGGCATTGTGGGTAATAAAGTTGGAGCCCAGGCCTACAGGAAGCCCATGGATAATGGAGTCAGCCTGCAGACAGGCATTGGGACGAGAATAAGTTTGGGTTACAGAGCCGGTCTCCAGCTCTGCAGGGCAGTGGGTCATGGAGCAAGGGATTGTGGGTAGCAGAGCCAGGCTCTAGAGGACTATGGGTCAGGGATCCCTCAGTGTCTGAATTCCTCCCCCAAGCAGGACCTCGTACACCAGATCACCCACTTCCAGTTTCCCATTGAGTCCCCCTAACCCTCCCAGGGGCTCCTTTCGAGGGGCTGAGAGCCAGACCCTTGCCTCAGGCATTTACCCAGCAGTCCGCCCTCTTCCATCCGGTCACTTGATGAGCCAGCCCCGTGGCCACCTCAGGAGGGAAAGCCAGTTGGGAGTCAGAACTCTTGCCCTGAAGGCAGCTCCCCCGCCCCACCCACTCTCCCCTCGGCGCCCCCAGCCCTCAGAGGCTGGACCTGCACTGTCTGCTTTTCTCAATCTCCCATCAGGCTCCTAGCTTACAGAGCTTCCTGCAGCAGCAGGCTCAGCTGGAGCTCCTGGCCAGACGGGTCACCCTGCTCGAAGCCATCATCTGGCCAGGTAATGGCAGGGCGGGCAGGCAGGGGCAGCCCCTTCCAGGAAGGGCCGAGAACACAGAATGTGGCTCCCGGGGCTGGGCCCAGCCCGCAGACACTGATTCTTCCGTCCTGCTGGCCAGCCGGCTGCCGGGCTGGCACCCGTACTGGGCCCTGGAGGGAAAGAGCACCTACTTGGTGCCAGGCCCCTTACTGGCCAGTCCTCAGCAGAGGACACACATGTAGCCCAGCACTCACGGAGTTTAGGGTGAGAGAGGCCATGGCCTGGGAAGTACAGGCCGCCCTGGCCCTAGGCTGGGCCAGTACAGGCAGGGCGGCTCAGGGAGAGCTGCCTGGAAGAGGTGACCTCTGAGTGGAGACTTGAATTAGCGAGGTCAAGGAGAGGGGAGTGAAGAGGAAGAGGGAGGGCAAGACCAAGAAGCTGGGGAGACCCCTCGGGGTGTGGGAGTACCAGGAGGTTGTTGAGGGCAGAGCATCCAGCCGGGCCTGGGCTGAGAAGGTTCTAGAAGGAAGGTTGGGGAGACTCAAGCAAAGGTCAGACCCAGGGCAGGCGGGCCCCTCCTGTGCCTGGAGTGGGGACATAAGTTACGGTGGGACGCAGGAGACCTCGCCCCTCTGGATGGAGCTGGTGTGCCCCTTCCCAGGCCTGGCCTCTGCCCTTCATTGACCTTCCACCTCTGTCCTCTCACACAGAAGCCTCAGGGCAACCTGGAGCCTCTTTCTTTTTTTTCTAATCATTTTATTAGGGGCTCATACAACTCTTATCACAATCCATACATTCATCAATTGTGTAAAGCGCATTTGTACATTCATTGCCCTCATCATTCTCAAAACATCTACTCTCCACTTAAATCCCCCCCCAATTAGGTCCTCATTTTCCCCTCCCTCCCCACTCCCCTCTCCCTCATGAGCCCTTGATAATTTATAAATTATTATTTTGTCATGGAGCCTCTTTTAAAGATTGGGAACCCAAGGCCCAAAGTAGGAAGGCGAAGGGAGCCCCCTCCTTCACTCAGCCAGCTCAGAGTGCCAGCCTGGGCGGGCCAAGGGCTCCAGACAGCAACTGGGCCCCTGCTTTCCGGAGCTGCCCACCCTGCAATGAGGGCCCCCCCGGGGTATGGGAAGCGGCCCCTCTTGCTGAGGGATTGAGAAGCTTTCTTGGAAAAGGAGCCCCACCGGAGGCCAGCTCGGGACAAGGCCTAGGGCTGCCCTGCATGGCTGCCAAGCCCGTCCCACCACACCACCTAGCTTCCCTCAAGCCCCGAAAGAGCAGCACCATCTCCCCCAGCCCGTGGCCCACCCAGAGGAGGGCCCGAGGGCCACATCCCAGGCTCCTTGATGGTGCCTCTGCCTCTTCTGTCAGGCAGACAGCAGAGACACAGCCAGGCATGCCCCTGACTGCCCCACTCCCCCACCCACCCTCAGCAGCCCCCTGAGCCAGCCAGGAACATTGGCTTGGAGGAGGGGATCCTAGAAGAGAGCAGAAAAGGGGCTGGGCCCCTCCCTGGTGGCCCGGGGTTCACAGTAGATGTTAACTGAAAGCCCACATGGGGGGCATATCATTGATGAGAGTGGTTAGCAGCTGCCACCGAGAATTATACTGATCATTTCCAGTCCCTCCCATGGGGCCCTGGCGGCATAAAACTGTAAGGGCTTTGGTTCAACCCTGCCCGCTCTCCACAGTCTGGGAAACTCGAAGAAGCGGTTCTACCCTGTCCGGTAGCGTTGCTGTGGGTCAACACTGGATGGCGTGTTGCTGCGTGGGCAGTCTTGATGGCCATCTTGCAAATGAAGAACCTGAGGCTCAGGGCCTCTCGGGGCTCCCTGGGGGTCACCCAGATGGTAACAGGTCAGGCCAGAGCTCCATCCTAGATCCCAGGCCTGGCTCTGCTCCACTGGCCCAGGTTTGCTGGATGCCGACGGGGGCCCTGGGGGAAACTAAAGACCTCAGAGTGGATTGTCCCGAGCCATATCCTGCCTGGTGGCACAGTCCGGAACCAACCAGCTGCCTTCGGGGGCAAAGATGAGGCAGTCTGCTTCCAGGGTGCTTGGCAGCATCGCAGCTCCAGCGAGCGGCTGTCCCAGAGTCCCTCAGCGTTGGGACCGGCTCAGGAACAGTTGGGTGGAGGTGGAGGTGGATGCAGGGGTGTGCAGGGGAAGAGACCCCACGTTCCAGGTGAAGTGCTGAGGTTCGGTGACTGGCCCGAGACCTCACAGTGGGGACCTCTTCCAGTTCCCCTAATTTGGGGGACCCCGTGTTCCCTGTGGAGGCTAGGGTACCCAGGGCCAGGGATGGCTGCAAGGGCAGTTCCCTATGGAAAGTTGTTGCTCCCAGGCCCAATGTTTGTTCTGGGAACACTTGGGGCGGGGGGCGTGGCACAGGGGCTCAGCCAGGTTTTCCTTCCTGGGTGCCTCTCTCCCCCTGGAAAAACAGCACCTCCCCCTCATTTGTCCACACTCGTTCAACTATGGGAGCGACTGAGACGGTGCTCAGAGGGCGGATTCCTGGTGGAGGTCATTCCTACTCTGGGTTTTGAAGGACAAGTAGGAGTTTCTTGGGTGACACAAATGTCTGTCATCTGCAGTTTCACCCTTAGGGGCCAGCGGCCTTCCAGGCTGGGGTAGCTCTCGCGTAGGTGTCTCTGGTTTTAGAGAGGAAACAGCTGAGGCCCTGACTGGCCAGGCTGGCGCAAGGCCTCCACAGGACTTCTTTACACAGGCAGAGGCTGGCTTTCCTGAGGCCTTCGCCCCAAGAAGAGGGGGTGTGCCACCTCGGTTTGCCCAGCTATGAAATGGGTGGACTCTAGGTACCCCTTCACCCCAAATGGAAGAATGGGGGGACACGTGCGTTTTATGGAGCAGTTTACTAGGGGGGCAAAGTGGGTGATGCATTGGGCTGCTACCCACAAGGTCTGCAGTTTGAAACCAGCTCAGGAGAAAGAAGATACCCAGGAAGTGTGATAGGCTCATAAACCTGATTGGTGGCAGTGAGTTCCGCGCTGAGTTCTACTAGGGGCTAAACATCTCATAAATGCAGTGGACTGAGAAGGAACCCGGCCGACGTCCTGAGTGCTCCCACTGGGTGGAGGGCTGGTAGCCCCAGGGGTGGGACATTCCTCAGACTTCCTTCCCACTGACGCCAAGGTTGGAGTATACTTGGCCGAGGGGGCCCGGCCATGCCACCACCAGTGGACTGAGGGGAGGTGGGTGCCACACATGGGACCTACTAATGTGGCCTCTCTTCTTCTCCTGGCAGAACCCGAGCTGGGGTCTGGGGCCGGTCCTGCTGGCACAGGCACCCCCAACCTCCTACGGGGCAAAAGGGGAGGACATGCTGTCCACTACCGGATCGTGGCCCCCCGGAGCCAGAACGACAGGGGCTGAGGGCAGCGGCAGCCCCTTGGGGTACACCGGGCCGGCCCCGCCCAGGAACCACCGGCCATATTTATTGATGTACTTGGGGGCCCTTCTGCCATCTCGGCCTTTGGGACAGGCGGGACTCTGCCATCTGAGGTTGAGGGAAGGGGCGGCCCAGGGGTGAGGTGAGACCTCTTTCAGGGCCCTGGGTCTGTTGCCCTCTGTGGGAGGGGTGCCAGGGACACCACTTCTAGTCGGCTCACTGGCTCCCAGGGCGCCCAGGCCTGCAGGTGTCCCAGGGTGATGGGTGCGGGGTCTCCCTACCTGTCTCCTTCTGGTTTTATTTTCTGGTGCTGGCTTCCCTGTCCTGAAGCCCAGCAGTCCCTGACCTTTGACTGGAGGGGTGGGGATGCTCCCTAAATTCTGCTCCCAAGGGTCTCAGGTGGGGGTGGGGACATGAACAGGGATCAGCCATCTGCTCCCATAGGTGCCTGTGACAGGTGCCGGGAGGTAGAGGTGTCCTGGCCAATAAAGGCTCCCAGCCTGATGTCCTCCCCAGCCTGGTTTCTCTCTGTGCTTAGCTGGGGGACAGGAAGGCCAGCTCATAGCCTCTCCCAGCAATGTCAGCAGCCTCCCTCCCCACCTGAGGGCGCCAGGGACCCCTCGACGTGTGAGGCAATTGGGTCTGTAGCCCCAAGGCCAAGTGTCCATTGGTGGCATTGGTTTCAGAACCACCCCCTGTGCGGGGTTGCCCCTTCATCAAAGCAAGCCAGCGGGCAAGAGCTGCTCTAGACCAGGGTGCCTCCTTCAGGCCTTCAGTGCCAGCCCGACCCACACGGCAGGCGACAGCAGTAGGGGCCTCTCCTTTCTCTTCAGCCCTCCCCTCAGGCCCCGGCCTGGGGTCAAGCCCTCATAGACAGCCAAAGCAGACGCTCACTCCAGGACAGGCAGCAGCCTGCAGTCATCCCCATAAAGCCCAGTGCCCCAGGACCCCCTTCAGGACACAAACACACACACACACATACACACAGCCTGCAGTCATCCCCATAAAGCCCAGTGCCCCAGGACCCCCTCCAGGACACACACACACACACACACACACACACAGCCTGCAGTCATCCCCATAAAGCCCAGTGCCCCAGGACCCCCTTCGGGACACACACGTACACAGTGCACATGAGCCAACTCAGGCCCTCTGCTTTCTATAGCCCCTCACCCAGGAAAGCCTGGGGCTGGCCAGGAGGGAGGGGCTGCTAAGTCAGGGCAGGTACTTGGGCTTGAGGAGACTGAATCTGCCCTGGGCAGTCA